GACCTGAACCTGTTCAGCCTCAGCGAGAGGAGGCTGAGGGGGGACCTGGTGACTGCCTGCAAACTCATCGGGGGAGATCAACAGCAAATAGGTAGAGACCTTTTCTCCCCAGCACCACCTGGGGTGATGAGGAACAATGGTAATACGCTGATGGAGAATAGCTTTAGGTTAGAGATCAGAAGGCAGTATTTTACAGCTAGGGTGGCCAAAATCTGGAACCAACTTCCCAGGGAAGTGGTCCTCGCCCCTACCTTGGGTAAATTCAAGAGGGGGTTCGATGATCACCTGTCTGGGGTCCTGTGAACCCAGCATTCACTCCTGCCTGTGGCAGGGGTCAGGCTAGATAATCTGTTCAGGTCCCTCCTGACCCTGGCTACTATGAAACTATGAAACTTAGTGAACTCAAATATCTCGCACTTTTGGGTACGTGGGGGAAATTGCAGTAAAGTCCTGGAGACCTAAACCTTCGAGGGGTTTGGCCTGTGCCCTTACTACAGCATGGGCAGGTTACTAGCACAGACATCGGAAGCAGTTGAGCTTCAGGCTGTCCTCCAGGTCAGGCCAATTAACACAGATGCTGAGCACCATGACACTAAAGTCAGAAGTTCTTGTGAATGGATAAGAACTGAGTTAACAGCTGGTTGAAAGCCAGAGTTAACTCTGAAGTGAAATTAAGACCTGGTGGTCTCCGTCTAGTTGCAAATCTTGCTGGCAGTCTTGGCAGAAAAACCAAGATCTAAGTGAGCATGGAGACCAGCATACTCCTTTCATCTTCTCGAAATGGCACCTCCAGAAAAGAAGGTGTTTATATTGCTGTGCATTGCAATGCATCAGTGCAGTAGATGGAAGGGCTTCAGCTAGCAAAGCTATCAAGCCAGCATCTTCCATAAATGCTATAATTAATTCAAAATATTTTAAAGATGATTACTTCAGCATTCTCGTGTAAGTTCTTATTTGACAGCTTTACTAATATGAAAAACACTGTATGATTCATAACAGAAAAAATAGACTTGAAGAGACTTCCAAGCTGAATACTGTATGAACTCTGAATTAAAGGTTTAAAGTAAAAAGACACTTTAAAGTGATTTCCCTTTTTATGAGTGGCATGATGAAAGGAAGAGTCAATTGGCTAATGAGTCTCATTATTGTATACATGGCAGAACTGGCAGTTCTTATACATGGCATAAGAATATTTCTCCACCCCTAAGCTT